GACTGTCGGTTCACACCCCATCACAAGCCAGCAAAACATCCACGAAACAAAGAAAGGTCTGTCACAGCCAAAAAATACACTCCAGACACGCCGCTGCCACTAGAGGCACAGCATGGCCGCCTTGTAACGGCCCCGACCACTGCCGCTCGACCTGACCGAAAAAAACCATAGCAGGAAGCTAGCGAAGTCGTAGTATATATCGTCACAAACAGAACTGCCCGGTAAACCGTAGGCAGAGAGAGATATATAATCTGTGGGTGTTTTCTTTTTTGACGATCATTGCATTGTTGCTGAAGAGAGTTGATGGCGCTTGTGATCTGGGGTATCTTCTGTACCGTTCCTATGGGTCCATCTAATTGTTCTTCATGAACTTACATTGTCCTTTTCACGAATGGTCAAGCCGTTGTGGATTCTTTTTTTGATATTTTTTAAAGCATGGTGTCAATTTATTACTATAAATATAAACGAGGCCGGGATCTCACAATTGTCAGGAAAGTGGAAAAATCTGGGAGCAATAACATGTTTTTTTTTTTTTTTTTTTTTTTTTTAAAAAAAGGGTGACCCAATGACCATTCCATTATAATTTATAAGTCGGAAAACAGGTTCAGCATCCCTTACATATATGCCACGGCCATGCAGGGATTAGCGAGGCACTTCGGGCAAGCCCATCCCCAACTGCAGCCTGTGAAGCACGCAGATTTGGATTGCTTTGTTGTCCACCTGGAAATGTATCTTCTTTAAGTTTTTTTCTTTTTCTCTTTTCCTTTTTACTGTCTAATATATCTACCACTCTTCCTAAGCCTATACAAGGAACCCCTGCAAGCATAGCTACATGTCACAATTAACAGGGGGTGCATGTTTTTTTTTTTTTTTTTTTTTTTTAACGAAGCAATGTCTGCCCTACTTTTTTTTTTTTTTTTTAATTTGGACCATTGCTCGATTTATGCGTGTCATCCTTGTGCAGGGGCCACGCTATTCTTCTTTCTCTGTATCACTCCAATCCTTTTCACGGATATCCCGAAGGACCCCCTTGCCCTATCTATTATAGCTACAAGCTTACAACAATCATAACAGAATCAAATTATTGATAGAGATAAAAATGCAGACCGGGATCTCACAATTGCAATGAAAAAGGAAAAATCTGGGAGCATGACTAGTATAGCTCAAATTTCGCTCTGTTGTCCAACTGGAGACGTAACTAGTATAGCTGCAATAATCGATAAAAGGGTCTCACCGCCCTCTCATTTAACACCCCTTCAACCTATATCTTCAGCCAATTATGCCCTCGGCCCTCTTCATGCAAAGTACTAAAGCCAATAGAAATTTGCTTTCAAAATTTGATATCAACTTATCCACTTAACTGTTGATTGGAATTATTAAGTAAATAGCGTTCTCTACATTTATAAATAATTAGCGAAAGACTCAAGACGGAATCGGTCTGCCTTGCTTAGGTAATCCTGCTGGGTAGACTCTCTGAATTGGGCATGTACAAGACTGCATGAGCCTGGCGTTCGAAGTTCCCGTACCGCAAGGTTCGTCCGCTTCCGCTTCCATCAGGGCTGGGAGGTTGCCCAACTTTGGTGCTTGTCACTGTTGTCTGGTCCAACTTGCCCTCGATACTGGTAGGGTGATGGTCCTAAGTGCTGGTCACACTAAGGTAGGATAGTGGGGACAAGGGGTTCGCTGGGAGTATTAACGTGGGGATGGGTAGGATAGGTGGCCTACCCTGTAAGGACAACCATTGGCTGCCGCTACCAGCAATCGTCGCGGGTCTGTTCCTTGGCCTCTACAACACCATATAACGTAGTTAAAAAAAAAAAAAAAAAGCATACAGGTTTCCCTGTACCACAGCTCGTAGCGCACATTGCAGTGGC